TTGGTAGACAATAGAATTCATGGTTCCATTTATCACAGCAAGCCTTCCAGTTCCTGAAGCAGCAAAACAACCCCAGACCATCACACTACCACCACCATATTTTACTGTTGGTATGATGTTCTTTGTCTGAAATGCTGTGTTACTTCTACGCCAGATGTAACGGGACATTTGCCTTCCAAAAAGTTCAACTTTTGTCTCATCAGTCCACAAGGTTGTCGTCGTCGTCTTCCTCCGCTTATCCGGGTCCGGGTCGCGGGGGCAGCATCCCAACTAGGGAGCTCCAGACCGTCCTCTCCCCGGCCTTCTCCACCAGCTCCTCCGGCAGGACCCCAAGGCGTTCCCGGACCAGCTTGGAGATGTAACCTCTTCAACGTGTCCTGGGTCGACCCGGGGGCCTCCTGCCGGCAGGACATGCCCGAAACACCTCCCCGGGGAGGCGTCCAGGAGGCATCCTAACCAGATGCCCAAACCACCTCAACTGGCTCCTTTCGATCCGGAGGAGCAGCGGTTCTACTCCGAGTCCCTCCCGAATGTCCAAGCTCCTCACCCTATCTCTAAGGCTGAGCCCGGCCACCCTACGTAGGAAACTCATTTCGGCCGCTTGTATCCGCGATCTCGTTCTTTCGGTCATTACCCAAAGCTCATGACCATAGGTGAGGATTGGGACCGGTAAATCGAGAGCCTGGCTTTCTGGCTCAGCTCCCTCTTCACCACGACAGATCAGCTCAGCGTCCGCATCACTGCAGATGCTGAACCAATCCGCCTGTCAATCTCCCGATCCCTCCTACCCTCACTCGTGAACAAGACCACGAGATACTTAAACTCCTCCACTTGAGGTAGGACCTCTCCCCCGACCCGGAGTTGGCAAGCCACCCTTTTCCGGTCGAGAACCATGGTCTCAGATTTGGAGGTGCTGATCCACAAGGTATTTTCCCAAAAGTCTTGGCAATCATTGAGATGTTTCTTGGCAAAATCGAGACGAGCCCTAATGTTCTCTTTGCTTAACAGTGGTTTGTGTCTTGGAAATCTGCCATGCAGAGCATTTTTGCCCAGTCTCTTTCTTATGGTGGAGTCGTGAACACTGACCTTAGTTGAGGCAAGTGAGGCCTGCAGTTCTTTAGAAGTTGTCCTGGGGTCTTTTGTGACCTCTCGAATGAGTTGTCTCTGCGCTCTTGGGGTAATTTTGGTCAGCAGCCCACTCCTGGGAAGGTTCACCACTGTTCCATGTTGTTGCCATTTGTGGATAATGGCTCTCCCTGTGGTTCGCTGGAGTCCCAAAGCTTTAGAAATGGCTTTATAACCTTTACCAGACTGATAGATCTCAATTACTTTTGTTCTCATTTGTTCTTGAATTTCTTTGGATCTTGGCATGAAGTCTAGATTTTGAGGTGCTTTTGGCCTACTTCTCTGTGTCAGGCAGCTCATATTTAAGTGATTTCTTGATTGAAACAGGTGTGGCAGTAAACAGGCTTTTGGGTGGCTACAGAAATTGAACTCAGGTGTGAAACACCACAGTTGGGTTATTTTTTAACAAGGGGGGCAATGACTTTTTCACACAGGGCAATGTAGGTTTGGATTTTGTTCTCTCCCTAAATAATAAAAACCATCATTTCAAAACTGCATTTTGTGTTTACTTGTGTTATCTTTGACTAATGGTTAAATGTGTTTGATGATCAGACACATTTTGTGTGACAAACATGCAAAAGAATAAGAAACCAGGAAGGGGGCAAATAGTTTTTCACACCACTGTATTTATCTGCTCCAACACACCTGTTCAGCAGCTTATCAAGCTCTGCAGAAGCCAGTTAATCATCTGCTGAATATAATCAAGTGTGTTGGAGCAGAGAAAAACCTAAAACAGGATCTCAAGGACCAGGGTAAGAAGAGACCTCTGTTTTAACCTCAAATGTGTCACATATGATAAGCTCTGCATCTTTAACAAAAAAAATTTCAAAAACGGTTTTCTGGAATCCTGGTCGATGGGCAAATTTAATTAATTTTCATATAATTCTATAATTTATTATATTATTCTAAAATGGATAATTAGATTTATTATTTTTATTTGATATTTCAGGCTTTAATTGGACCTTGCATCAGCAATCAAAATAAACATACATGCACATACACAGCTGTAAAATGTGATGGGAAAACAGATCCCTGCAGAGAGAATCTGGAAACTCTCTCACTAACAGTGAAAACATGACAGCTCTTGGATATCACCATACTGGAGAAACGAGAAATACTAGTCAGTTAACGATCGTGCAGTTATGTATTTATAAAGACAGGAGGAGAGCATTAACTGGCACGCTGAATAAGAATAATATGTGAATTGGTTGTAGGTCAAGTAACTAACAGCCAGATTATTTTGGGGGGGGGGGGGGGGGGGGTGTAGATGCAGAAGTCAGAACTTTTAAGATAATCTTAAAGGAAAAAAAATGTTTTTCACCTTCCTACTGTTTTCAAACTGGTTTCAGTGGTTCTTGAGCCATAAACTTGACTAAATTTACATTGGACAGCATTCTGTAGCCCTCTGCTGACCAGAAATCACACTTGGTTTTGTGGTTTAGGAAGTGTTCATTTCATTGACTAAATATTTTCCCTTTTTTTTTTCTCTTGTGACGAATGAATTTTGACCAACACTCTTTTTAGGAAGCTAAAGGAGGCTGTAAAATCACAGACTGATGGTGACCTGGCTTTGTTGCAGCTGGACTTTTAAGTAATAATAATTTTTTGTCCAACAGTGTGGATCTTTTTACTGAGTAGCTTATTTTAGAATCATTTGGCTAGCATGAGCTCATTGTTAGCACTAGCTACAACAGGCTGTGGCAGGGTTTTTATGACAGTTGTAATTCCACTTTCAACCAGTAGGAGGTTAGCTAGTTTAAAAGAGCATGACGGTAAATGTTGTGACCTGTGGAGCAGAAACCATGCAACCTCGGTGTGACTTCTCAGACTTTGATGGTCCTTCACTTAATTCCATCAAGAGAATGCAACGCTGACTGTAGTTTTCTGGCGCTGAAGTTTCCGGATCTGCTCAGGGTCCTGCTCCTGCTGATGACGTCATCATACTACGGCAATAATGCTCGGCCAAAATATATTGCATCTCTTTTTCAATTCTGTTCTTTACCAAACCTCCTTCCACATTTGTTTTGGAAAGCAGTTTTGTTATTAAATTCATGTTTCTTACTGCCTAAATGTTTCTGAACGTTGTAATGTCGTGGTAATGCCATAAAGAAGGAAAGGAGTGAAACATGTCAGAAGGGAACATGGCGTCTGATATGGCGTCCCCCAAAGCCAGTATGCTATGTATTTTAGACCTGATTTTTATGGTCATATGCTATGAAGCCACCAATAATTTTCTTTTTATTCATTTTCAACAACATTTGATGAATATTTCCAGAGATTAAAGACAAAACTACACACTGCCACTTTAAGTGGCAGCGTGTAGTTTTTACTGCAAATTTGACTCAAACCTTCTATCTATCTGAGAAAGAAGTCATTAGCTCTTGGGAATAAAGGGAATCTGTGCTGAATCCATGACCTAGTATCAATAGTCCCTCCCTTATGCCATCTCCCATTCACACGAGAATAATCCCTTCCAACCTGTTCAGAGACCATTAAATTAACTGGTGACGGAACGGTGAAATGGGGCATTTGGGAGGGCATACATTTGGTGTGAGGCATCGGAGCACGTTCAGCAGAGAATAAAAATACTTTAATTATCAGAGACTTTCTTTATTGTGAGTCACGTTGCACAAAGCATGGCTGTGCTATTGATCCATAATGGCTCATGCTCCCTCCTGCCGCGTAGGGGTGTGTTCAGATTGGATGTTATCATTGTTTGGCATGAGTTAATGAGATTTCAGGGACCGAAAATGGACGCTTTCATTCCCAAATGATGAGCCTCTGTTCTGGGTATTGCCTGAAATGATAACCGTTTCAGACTCCTGTGGCGATACTAAAAAAAACTATTTCTGGGTAAGCAGAGAATTTATGAAGACCGATAAAGTCAGACGTCGGTTATTTCCACATAAACAGACCTCAGATCTCACTCTCATGTCCAAATAATCTGCTCTACTTGCAAATTGTCTCTGTGCTGTGGGGGACACAGTGTGTCAGAGCAGAGGTTTGTGATTAAAATGAATATTAAATGTGTTCCTCTAACTTAACTTTAACAGTGATAATCAGCCGTGGATGACATTCAGATTTAAAACACAAACAGTGAGCGGGCCTCGGCAGACGGGTCGTCTTTTACATAATAATCCAAAAAGCACAGACTGCACATTTGTCTTCTGTGGGATCGGTTCTCATTTAAAATTCTGATCCACACTCGTTCCTCTGCCCTGCCTTCAAAATAAATGTATATATTTAAACAGTGGAAGCATTGATATCAGCAGAATTATAAAGTAACCCAACAGATTTAGACATTCTCACAAAAAATCGCTTTTGCTGGATCTATTCAGTTTTTGCATCTGTAAGAGAAGATAAAGGAATGACTGCATATCGTCATATTCAGTGCTTGTGTGAGAGATTGTTATTCTGCGAGGTATTCTGGAGGGTTTTGGTTCATCGAGAAGCCTGTGTGTGTGTGTGTGTGTGTGTGTGTGTGTGTGTGTGTGTGTGTGTGTGTGTGTGTGTGTGTGTGTGTGTGTGTGTGTGTGTGTGTGTGTGTGTGTGTGTGTGTGTGTGTGTGTGTGTGTGTGTGTGTGTGTGTGTGTGTGTGTGTGTGTGTGTGTGTGTGTGTGTGTGTGTGTGTGGGGCCAGACACCATGTCTGGGTTCATAGAAAACCAATCGAGACACCTGCTGGCTACCGCTGCCAGTCAATGATAAAATGGGAAAGGGTATGTGGACGTGTGGGCCTCTGGCACAAACAGCTGCCTGGTAAAGGTCAGCTGGGATCGAAAGAACAGTTTCGTCACTTATTTTTATTTGTTTATCATCAATACGTTTGACCTCCCGGTGAATGAACCAGATGGAATAAACACATTAACAAGGCGGTTGTGGGCTCTGATCATTTTATTACAAAAGTGCAGCGGCTCTAGGCGGAGAAATAAGAACAAAAATAAAAACAGATAGAAAAGAAACTGATTTCAGAGCAGACAGGAAAAAGCTGTTGGAGCAACTGACCCACAGCTACAACGTCAGGGTGTAAGCACTGCACCATTTATCATGCACTGACAAAACACTCAGGAGAGATGCATGCAAGGAAAAGAAAGGAAACACCACCTCAGCACAACATTGCAACATCTGCATTATGCAGTAAAAGGCCACAGCAGATAACAACAACGTCACATTTCATCAAAAGGGTCACAGTTTACTTCATGTCCTGGCAGGGGCAAAAATCAGGGAACAAAGGGATGGTTTAGTTTGAATTTCAGCAGGTAGTGTGACATCTGTGAAGAGCAAACCCAACGATGCAAGGTCTCGGTGTGTTTGCCACCAATGATATTGTAAACAATCTACACTATAAGGCGCACAGTTGAAAAGTTGTCCAACATAAGAGCCACAACATCACTCCGTAAAGGGTTGACTGTGAAAACGCTTTCATCTTTCACATCAACACACTGCAGATCTGGCATACCAACTGTCAATATACCATCCGCAGGCAGTAAAATGCTGTTAGAATGATTATAAAACACACACACATATGTACAGACATTAAAGGAAGAAAAAAAGATTTAAAAACAAAATATGAACCCATTTTCTCTTTTTCCTAAAACACACACACACACACACACACACACACACACACACACACACGCACACACACACACGCACACACACACACGCACACACATATATATATTTTTTAGGCACACAATACGGTACAGTAAACATTTTTTTCTTTTATCAACACCTCTTTGTTATTGACAGCTAAAGACGTGGACATTGAAGGACCCTCCATGACCGAAAGGACAAATATGCTCTTCTTTTTCTTAATAAACACACACACACACACACACACACACACACACACACACACACACACACACACACACACACACACACACACACACACACACACACACACACACACACACAAAGAACAGGTAGTACCCTGCTGGCATCTGCCTCTTTACACCTTTCCTAAAAATTAAAGGGAACTTTTCAGTCAAAATGTTGCTCTTTGTGATTGTGAAACCTGCTTGATGACCCTACAACAAGTCATCTTCATGACCTTTCCTTCCTGGTCAGAAGGTTAAGACTCATATCTTACAAAGACATAAGGCAATAACTTCTTCCTTGGCCGGTCAATTTGCACCAAGTCTTTTGGATCTTTTTACAAATTAAAGCAAAAATACTATAAAAACAAATGACCTCAAATATTCGCAATGTCATTTTCAGCTATTTTAAACACTGATTGTCTAGAATAATGATACAAATCCTAGAACATAAGAGATAGTGATTGCGTGTAAACACAGTCATAAATCATCTGGCTTGTGTTTTCAAAGCAGCTGGACCCTGTGAGAGGCATGGGTTAGTGTGCATGAGGGGTGAGATTAGGGTGTAAAACAGGTGAGGTTTGGGTGTAGGAAGGGTGAGATTAGAGTTAGGGTGTAGGAGGGATGAGATTAGGGTGCAGGAGGAGTGAAGTTAGGGTGCAGGAGGAGTGAGGTTAGGGTGCAGGAGGAGTGAAGTTAGGGTGCAGGAGGAGTGAGGTTAGGGTGCAGGAGGAGTGAAGTTAGGGTGCAGGAGGAGTGAGGTTAGGGTGCAGGAGGAGTGAAGTTAGGGTGCAGGAGGAGTGAGGTTAGGGTGCAGGAGGAGTGAAGTTAGGGTGCAGGAGGAGTGAGGTTAGAGTGCAGGAGGAGTGAGGTTAGGGTGCAGGAGGAGTGAAGTTAGGGTGCAGGAGGAGTGAGGTTAGGGTGCAGGAGGAGTGAAGTTAGGGTGCAGGAGGTGTGAAGTTAGGGTGCAGGAGGAGTGAGGTTAGGGCGCAGGAGGGGTGAGGTAGTCCACACAAGAACTGAACGGGGGTGTGAACTGTTTTCTGGTTCTGGTTCTTCATATTCGTGGGTGGTTTTGATAAACAAGCTTCGTTCTTCTCTTCTGATTGTTCTTTTTTCTTTTACAGAGAATTTTCCGCTTTGGCAGGATGAAGCTGCTAAATTATTTTTGAGAAAAGCTTGCTGTAAAAATGTATTCTTTAGATGTGTTTTCAGAAGATTTTCTGGGTTTCTTCCTTTCCTGGTGAATCTGAAGTCATCTGTCCTTTCAGACCAAAGTACCAGGTAAGCGTCAAATCAGTCAATTGTGTAATTTATGGTTTTTCTAATTGGGTTGGGTTAGGGCTCTTCAGACGATGCGGTAATCAAACGTGTCTTTCTCGGTGTGGTCTGTCCAGTTGGATGAGGGCATGCTGCGGTAAGGGTCCAGCAGGATGCGGAAGCAACGCACAATGAGCAGGGCCAGGAAGATGAAGAGCAGCAGCACAAAAACGAAGGCGGCCTTCTGCTCCAGCGTCAGGTACGAAGGTTCATGATAGCCGCCTCCCGAATAGGGAAGCGTGTGGCTTATGAGGCCCTCAGCCATCCGGGGCACATCCATGTTTGACCGTCTGGGCTCCAGCTTTGTGCCTTTTGTTGACAGATTTCAGAGGAAAGTGGGTTTGGACAATGAGACCTGTGCAAAAATCCAAATACATGAGTTAGAAATCATGCCTTCTGAGGTTTGACCATTGAAACACAAACTATTAGACTTCATGCAGGTGGAGATAAAACGTAGACAAGTCTATTTTTAGAAGTTCAGGCATAAAGCCAGCTCAGTAAGTAACAACGTCTCAGAGGAGTCCTTTTGCCGTGGATTTAAACAGCTCAGGGGGTTGTTCTGGCACTCCGGGGTTTTACTTATGCAACATTTACTGGAGCCGATGATGCTCCAGAGGTAAATAAGTCACTGGCATCATTAGACACCATGATGCTGTGAGATTGCCAACCCTGTACTCTCGTATGCAGCCAATATGCAACAGCAATTTAATTTTGATGAAAACATTTATATTGAGCACAGTCATATATAAAGAAAATGAATTTCTCTCCCTGGACAAATTAAATGAAGCATGAAAACAGACAGGTTTACAGCAGGCTGGTGGAGGACTGATTACCAAGAAAAGAATTACAACAGGAAACCAGAACAAAATGTATATATTTTAACAGGTTTTGGCTCATTTACTACGTGTTTTATGATGTAATTTCTGACCGACTGATATGCTTATGACTTTCATGAAGGCTCTGCTTCTTCACTCAATCATTTTAAAGCACTTTAGCCTGCCTGTAAATAAAATATGGACTTAACCACTGTGGTGTCCTCCACTGGTTTGTGGATTCATGTTCAGATCCTTCACTGTACTGTATTTGGCTGGGTTTTAAATGGCAAAAACATCATAGTTCACAATTTTATCACAGTTGACAGTGTTTTGATTATTTTTCTGTTAGTATTTTCACACCAGGATAGTCCAGGAGACCTAGTTTGATTGGTTTGCACTATAATATCACATCACACGTTCACAGGTTGGCTACTGCTCTTTTGAGGTGATTTTGCCCAAAACGAGCACTGACCTTCAACGAACAGAGCAAAAAGAAAAAAAAACTCGACTTATTCATTAACCAAGACCAAAAACAGAAATCTCACCTTTTTTGCTGACTTGTTCACGGTAAAAAACCCAGAGTACCTTCAAACAAACGCATACATATTTCTGTTTACGGCGGCTTCTTCAGATTTGAACAACATTATGCTTATGTTTATGTTTATTTATTTAGCAGACGCTTTTATCCAAAGCGACTTACAATTTAGAACCTATAGGGCATGTTGTGATCTGTGGGGGAAACCGGAGTACCCAGAGGAAACCCACGCATGCATGGGGAGAACACGCAACTCCACGCAGAAAAGCCGTAGCCGAGTTTCGAACCTGCAAACTTCATGCTGCGAGGCAACAGTGCTAACCACTGCGCCACCATGCAGCCCGCCACCAACATTTAACATTCCAGAGCAAATGAAATCAGTGGTAGACCTGTGTTGGTGTTTGCTAATCAGAGGTGAGATGACAGAATATTACATATTACAATATTACATTTCTCCCTAGTTAGGTGAGTGTGAGTTCTGCCTCTGAGCTAGATGCTCTCTCACCCTACCAGCAGTCAGTTGTCACTAGCTTGGGGGTGAGACTGGATGCAGAACTCAAACTGGAATCTCACATTAATATGGTTGTAAGAGCCTGCTTCTGTAACCTGCAATGGCTGGCAAAAGTCAAGCCCCAGTTGTCCCAAGCACATCTGGAGTCAGTGCTCCACACATTTTTTTTCTAGGCTCGACTACTGTAACGCTCTATATGTTGGGTTGGGTTGAGGCAGGCTGTAATGAATCGTCTCCAGTTGGTTCAGACCTCGGCAGCCAGGTTTCTGACAGGGACGAGGAAATCAGCACATATTACTCCTGTGCTGACATTGTTACACTGGCTTCCCGTGGTCTTTCGGGTGAAATTTAAGGTCCTCTACTTTGTCTACCGGTCTCTATGTGGTGGTGCTCCACCATACTTGGCAGCACAATTAACACGGCACACCCCATCTCGATCTCTACGCTCGGCAGAGCCAGAGCTACTGACTGTTCCTCACTCTCGGTATAGATCCAGAGGAGATCGGGCTTTCTCGTTCTTGGCTCCATCCATCTAGAATTAGCTGCCACTCAGCATCAAACAGTCACCCTCACTGCATGTCTTCAAGAGTCGCTTGAAGACTCATTTTTATCGTTTGGCTTTTATGTGACTTGGTTTTATGTTTCTTTGTCCTTCTTTTAAATATATATTTTTGTATGTAGTTTAAGGACTGTTTAATCACTCTGTTTTTATTTTAATCTATGTTATGTTCAGCACCTTGAGCTTCCACAGAGGCGGTGGCAGGCGCTCTATAAATAAAGTTTGATTGATTGATTGAATATCAGGAAACAAGACTCCAAATCCTGCTTTGTTCGCTTAACTCTGATCTGGTTCACTTCCAGTTCCTGAAACAGGAGTGCCAGAGTTATTTTTCTAAGAGATCAACTCACAAGGTATTCATTTATACTGTGGACCACTGCAAATGTGTTGAAAAACTGCTGAACTTGGTCTTTAACACGTATATGCACATCAGTAGAATATAACAGTGAATGATTTATTGTGATTCAACCACTTTGCTACTTCTGCTGAGGTAAGAACTTTTGAGCGATATGGGGTGCAGCCCTATCCTGGCAAGCCATCATATTTATGTAAATATATAATCTGGACTTCTACAGAGCTCAAGAGCTGAATCTACAGACATCTTTCAAACTATCTCTACATGCAACTGGGCAGCTCCACCAGTCAGAGCAACAAACAACATGATGTATTCAAAGCAGCAGAAATCAGTAAACATACATGGTCAAAGAAGAGGAACCTCTATCTGCTCATGTCTCAAAGGAAAGCCCAAGGCTGAATCGTCCAAAGTTGATGCCAAAGCTGTTTCAAACAAGCGCCGTTCCTGAGCTGCCGCCATCTTTGTTGTTTACCCCGTAGCAGTTATGCTGTCACCTTAGAGGCAAAAGCTCTATGTGGTAAGTCTGCCTAATGTCTTTATACAAAAATAGAGCACTGTGATTGGCCCAACCTAACCTTACCTGAGCCAATGGTAGACCTGAGGCTACACCAACCAGGAGGGCAAAATATTTTGCTACCGCTGCCGTTCGTCTAGATTTCTAGGCGAGTGCAGACTTACAATACTGCCAAAAATGTATCACTACTTCATGAGAACTGGTGATGAAGTTACTTATAACAATTTCACAAAAATAAATCTAAAAACAAATGGTTTATCTCTGAGTTAGCAGAACAAATGAAAAAAGATAATTTTTCCTCCTTTATTTTCGTGGGCCTCTTGTTCATGCTGGCACCTAATTATTATTGTGCACATAGGAGAATAAATGCATTACTGTATTGTGTCTTTTATATTTAATGGGGCTCTTTCGATGACACTTTTTTATGAGCCCTAAATGACACAGGTTTCTTGTTTGGTCTATGCCTGAGTCCAGAGGAGCTCCATACCTGCCCAAATGAGGCAGACCCTCTGATACAGTCAGTTTAAAGTAGACTAAACCACTCGGTTGCAAAATGCTGTAGCACAAAAATATTTGGGTTTTTTGCTATTTAAAAAATCTCAAACCTCAAATATTTTATAGCATTTGAAGTTGCATTGCATTTTACACCCGCTGCTGTTGAAATAAGTATTTATACACCGACTGTACAGGAAGTGCAGAATTATTAGGCAAGTTGTATTTCTGAGGAATAAT